ATCTATTTAAATATCTGAAAGACAGAGAGACAGACAGTCATCTCTCATCAACTGGATTACACCCCAGTGCCTGCAACAGCCAGAACTGGGCCAAACCAAAGCCAGGAGCCAGGAACTCCATCCAGGTCTCCCACGTGGGTGGCAAGGACCTAAGTTCTTGAGCCATCACCTGCAGCCTCCCAGGGTGTGCATCAGCAAAAACCAAAGCAGATTGAGGACTCAGATCTTGGCATTCTAATAAGAGTGTCCCAAGTGGTGTCTCAACTGCTATGCCAAATCCTCACCCCTACCTGGTCTGCTCCGTACAAACACCTACTGCCCACAGCTGCTTTTGGGGACCACAGCAGAGCTGAGCAGCGACAACACAAAGCTGAAAATATTTATGTCCAACCCTTTAGTAAAAGGCGCACAGACCCCTGAGCAGCCTTGGAACTGACCTAAAACACCAGCGAGGGAGGCAGGCAGGCAGGGAAGGAGGGAAGGAGCCCTGACACCAGCCTGAAGACACAGGAGGAAGAAACAAACCTCGACTGTCTCCCTTCTTCCGGGATCACATCTCACCTAAGGTGGAAGGAAAACCAAGGGTTCTCGCACCTAGTCCTTTCTCACCACAGCGCTAAGTCACGAGGGTGGACCTGAATTTACCACGAACACTAAAGTAATGCCCCCAATCAGGCAGGAAATGCAGGCTCCACCTGAGCCCAGCCCCAGCCCACCAAGAGTGCTGTGCAGGAAGGGACACAGAGCTCGGCCGACTCCAGTCCTGCACTCATTGATTCCCACGTGGGAAGGAAGGAAGGAAGGTGCCAGAGGGGGAGGGGCCGTGACTCCTGTTCTCTCCCTGCACCTGCCACCTCGTACTGCAGCACATCCACTCAGCAGAACCCAAAGGACAGCCTCTATACAATGGCTAACACGGATGCAGATGGACAGTGCTGTGCGCCTAGACAGGCTTTTGGCCAGGATGGAGTCTAAGGGAACTAACTACCCTTCTGAACATCTTGGGGGGTAGGGGTTCCAGGTGTTTGGCTGAGTGGTTAAGATGCCTGCATCCCGGGCCGAAGCTGTGGTGTAGCAGGTGAAGCCGCCACCTGCAGCACCAGCATCCCACATGGGCACCGGTTCAAATTCTGACTGCTCCATTGCTAATACATCTAGGGAAGCAGCAGAGGATGGCCCAAGTGCCTGGGCCCCTGCACCCACGTGACAGACTTGGAATAAGCTCCTGACTTTGGATCAGCCCAGCTCCAGCCATTGCGGCCACCTGAGGACTGAACCAGCGGATGGAAGACCTCTTTCTCTGTCTCTCTGTAACTCTGCCTTTCAAATAAATTAATTAATTTAAAAAAAAAAAAAAAAGATGCCTGCATCCCAAGTCACAGTCTCTGAGTTTGACTCATGGCTCTGGCTCCTGATTCCAGCTTCCTGCTGATGCAGACCCTGGAAGACAGCAGTGACGCGTCAAGGAGTTGGATTCCCGTTACCCACATGGGAAACCTGGATTGAGTTCCAGGCTCCTGGCTTCAGCCTGGCCCAGCCCTGACCATTGCCGCATTGGGGGAATGAACAGTAGATGGGAGGTTCCTCTCTTTTTTTCTACTTATCAAATAAGTAATTGTTTTTCTTCTACGAGGGGGGAATAAAAATCAGAAGGAATTAGTTCTCCAGACACTGGAGTGATCCAAGCGTCAGGGGGCGAGTGAGGTGAGCCTGGAGAACATGTCCAGCTGCTGAGCAGGAGGGGCCTGGGCAGGGCCAGCACACTCCTGCAGCAGCCGGCCGGGCGGGGACTGAGTTCTTCCCAGGGCAGGGCGCGGGGAGGAGAGAGCCACGCAAAGGCGGACTGCAGAGATCTGCAGCGCCCTCCAGCCCCACGAGTGAAGCAGCCCCCCAGGCCAGGAAAGACACCCTAAAGGACAAGCAGGAAAGGCAACTCAGGTTCAACAGAGCGGGAAGCGGGGCCTGTCCTCCCTAACCTGTCGGGAAACACTCACTCAAGGGCACCAGCAGAGCACGCTCAGGAGACCCCCACCTCAGCAGCATCGGGAAATTAACTCTAGACAAGACACTGCCCACGTCTGCCTGTCAAAGACCAAAGGCCTACCCGGAAAGGGTCACACTGAAAACCGCAACTAGAACAAAGTTCAGGAATATTCACAGGACGGGCGGGTGCTGGGGCACAGAGTGTTAAAATGCTTCTTGGGGCACCTGCATCCCAACTCCTCTACTTCGGATCCAGCTTACTGCTAATGTGCCCAGAAAGGCAGCAGACGATGGTCTAAGTCCTTGAGTCCCTGATGCAGTTCCTGGCTCCAGGCTTCAGCCTGGCCTAGCCACGGGCATTTCAAGAGTAAACCAGCAGACAGAAGACCTCTCAGTCTCTGTCTCTGTCTCTCCCTTCTTGTCATTCAGCCTTTTCAAATAAATACATCTTTATAAAATTGAATATTCACAGGAATGCAAAAATACCTAGCACTAAAAAGGTAAAATCCGTAAGTCTGGCACTCAAAAAAAAAAACTGGGAAAGGGCAGGAAATTACAACCTTGATGAGGAGAAAAATCATCCATCAATCAAAACTGATCTGGGCCGGCGCTGTGGCATAGTAGGCTAAGCCTCTGCCTGAGGTGCCGGCATCCCAAACGGGTGCAGGTTCATGTCCCGGCTGCTCCACTTCCCATCCAGCTCTCTGCGTATGGCCTAGGAAAGCAGTAGAAGATGGCCCAAGTGCTTGGGCTCTTGCACCCATGTGGGAGACCCAGAAGAAGCCCTGGCTCCTAACTTCAGATCAACCCAGGTCCGGCCTCTGCAGCCACCTGGGGAGTCAACCAGCAGATGGAAGACCTTTCTCTCTCTCTCTCTCTCTCTAATTCTGCCTCACAAATAAATAAAATCTTAAAAAAAAAAAACTGACCAGAAACGGCATAAATGACAGGATAAGGACATTTTAAAAGTATTTACATATTTATTTATTTGAAAGACAGAGAAACAGAGATAAATGGAAAGATCTTTCACCCACTGGTTCACTCCCCAAATATCTACAACAGGCTGGGATGGCCCAAGCCAAACCAGGAACCAGAAACTCAACTTCGGATCTCCCGTGTGGGTGACAGGGACCCAAGAGGTCACCGTCTGCTGCCACCCAGGATGTGCATTAGCCAGAAGCTGGACTCAGAAGCGGAGCTGGGAGTTGAACCCAGGCACTCCTACATGAGATGTGGACATGCCACGCAGCTTCCTAACTACCACACGGAAAGTCTGACCCAACAGACAGGGACACTGACACAACCATATTCCAAGTGTTCAAGATCCTAGAGGAAGAATTAAGCAGGTTAGCAGAGATACAAAAGATATAAACAAACCGGCCGGCACCGCGGCTCACTAGGCTAATCCTCCGCCTAGCGGCGCCGGCACACCGGGTTCTAGTCCCGGTCGGGGCGCCGGGTCCTGTCCCGGTTGCCCCTCTTCCAGGCCAGCTCTCTGCTGTGGCCAGGGAGTGCAGTGGAGGATGGCCCAGGTGCTTGGGCCCTGTACCCCATGGGAGACCAGGAAAAGCACCTGGCTCCTGGCTCCTGCCATCGGATCAGCGCGGTGCGCTGGCCGCGGCGGCCATTGGAGGGTGAACCAACGGCAAAGGAAGACCTTTCTCTCTGTCTCTCTCTCTCACTGTCCACTCTGCCTTCGGGGCACAAAAAAAAAAAAAAAAAAGATATAAACAAACCTACCTAGACATGAAAATTATACTGCCTGAAATGAAAAATACACTAAGAGTAACAGATTTGATTCTGTGGAAGACATTAGTGACTTGAAGACATGAGCGTAGGAACTCTGATCCAAAACAAAGAAAGAACAAAGACGGGAAGAAGGGGCAGAGCATCCGCGAGCAGTGGGACAAGTTCACAGCCCTCACACACACACACACACACACACAACTGGAGGGAGGACAGAGAGAAGACTGAAGAAACAGTGGCAAGGGACTGGCACTGCGGTGCTGCAGCTAACGCCACCATCCGCAGTGCCAGCATCCCACATGCATGCGGGTTCAAGTCCTGGCTGCTCCGCTTCCAGTCCAGCTCTTTGCTTATGGCTGGGGAAAGCAGTGGAAGATGGCTCAAGTCCTTGGGCCCCTGAACCCATGTGGGAGATCCAGAAGAAGCACCTGGCTCCTGACTTTGGATCAGCCCAACTCCAGCCGTTGTAGCTGTTTGAGGAGTGAACCAGCAGATGGAAGATACCTCTCTGTCTCTCTCTCTTGTAACTCTGCCTTTCAAATAAATAAATATTTTTTTTAAAAGTGGCCAAAAAGTCTCCCATTTGATGAAAACTATAAGCCACAAATCCAAGTACATCAGTGACCCTCGTGTACCAGAAACAAAACTCCAGGTGACACTAGAATCACAGTGCTCCAACTTAACGATAAAGAGAAAACCCTGCAAAGCAGCCGCAGGGAAATGGCATATACACGGAAAAGCAAAGTCAAAGATGACAACGGAGTTCCTAACAGAAACAATATAAGCTGGGGCCCACGCTGGGGCCTGAAGCGCCGGCATCCCATACGGGCGCCGGTTCTAGACCCGGCTGCTCCACTTCCCATCCAGCTCTCTGCTGTGGCCTGGGAAAGCAGCAGAAGATGGCCCAAGTCCTTGGGCCCCTGCACCCACGTGGGAGACCCAGAGGAAGCTCCTGGCTCCTGACTTTGGATCAGTGCAGCTCCGGCTGTTGCAGCCAATTGGGGAGTGATCCATTGATGGAAGACCCCTCTCTCTCTCTTTCTCTCTCTGTCTCTGCCTCTCCTCTCTTTGTAACTATGAGTTTCAAATAAATAAATCTTTAAAAAAAAAAATACAAGCTGGAAGACACTGAAGTGACATTTTTAAGTTCTGAAAGGAAAAAGGAAAAATCTATCAACTCAGAATTACCTGAAGCAAAAACATGTACGCTGTGTCACGCGGCAGGTACGCTGTGTCACGAAGGTACACTGTGTCACGCGGCATGTACACTGTGTCACGCGGCAGGTACGCTGTGTCACATGGCAGGTACGCTGTGTCACCAGCACGTACGCTGTGTCACGCGGCAGGTACGCTGTGTCACCAGCACGTACGCTGTGTCACGCAGCAGGTACACTGTGTCACCAGCAGGTATGCTGTGTCACGCGGCAGGCACGCTGTGTCACGCAGCACATACGCTGTGTCACCAGCACGTACGCTGTGTCACGCAGCAGGTACACTGTGTCACGCGGCAGGTACACTGTGTCACGCGGCAGGTACGCTGTGTCAGGCAGCAGGTACGCTGTGTCACCAGCACGTACGCTATGTCAAGTAGCAGGTACGCTGTGACACGCGGCAGGTACGCTGTGTAATGCGGCACGTACGCTGTGTCACCAGCACGTACGCTGTGTCACGTGGCAGGTACACTGTGTCACCAGCACGTACGCTGTGTCACACGGCAGGTACGCTGTGTCACCAGCACGTACACTGTGTCACACGGCACGTACACTGTGTCACCAGCATGTACGCTGTGTCAGGCAGCATGTACGCTGTGTCACGCGGCAGGTACGCTGTGTCAGGCGGCAGGTACACTGTGTCACGCGGCAGGTACGCTGTGTCAGGCAGCAGGTACGCTGTGTCACCAGCACATACGCTATGTCAGGCAACAGGTACGCTGTGTCACGCTGCAGGTACGCTGTGTCACCAGCACGTACACTGTGTCACGCGGCAGGTACACTGAGTCACCAGCACGTACGCTGTGTCACGCGGCAGGTACGCAGTGTCACGCGGCAGGTACGCTGTGTCACCAGCACGTATGCTGTGTCACGCGGCACGTACGCTGTGTCACCAGCACGTATGCTGTGTCATGCGGCACGTACGCTGTGTCACGCAGAAGGTACACTGTGTCACGCGGCAGGTACGCTGTGTCACCAGCACGTACGCTGTGTCACGCGGCAGGTACGCTGTGTCACCAGCACGTACGCTGTGTACGCGGCAGGTACGCTGTGTCACCAGCACGTACGCTGTGTCTCCAGCACGTACGCTGTGTCACGCAGCACGTACGCTGTGTCACGCGGCACGTACGATATGTAACGCAGCAGGTCCACTGTGTAACACAGCAGGTACACTGTGTCACGCAGCACGTACGCTGTGTCACGCGGCAGGTACGCTGTGTCACCAGCACGTATGCTGTGTCACGCGGCACGTACGCTGTGTCATGCAGAAGGTACGCTGTGTCACCAGCACGTACGCTGTGTCACGCGGCAGGTACGCTGTGTCACCAGCACGTACGCTGTGTCAGGCAGCAGGTACGCTGTGTCACGCGGCAAGTACGCTGTGTCACCAGCACGTACGCTGTGTCACCAGCAGGTACGCTGTGTCACGCAGCACATACACAGTGTCATGCAGCGTGTACACTGCATCACGCAGCAGGTCCACTGTGTCACGCGGCAGGTACGCTGTGTCACCAGCAGGTACACTGTGTCTCCAGCACGTACGCTGTGTCATGCGGCAGGTACGCTGTGTCACGCAGCAGGTACGCTGTGTCACGCGGCAGATACGCTGTGTCATGCAGCACGTACACTGTCACGCAGCACGTAGCTGCCGAAGAAAACTTCAGCAACAGTAGCAGGAAAGTCACAGGAGGCAGAAACAAGCTGCTCTCAAGTTCTTCTGCCGCTCTCACTGGAAGGGATGCTGCGCTAAGCTGACGGCGAACACCCCTAAAATAATGCAGAGCCACAGGAAGAAAGCCTCCAAAGGCAAAATGGAATAAAAAACACCCAATCCAACCGAAAACAGAAAAGAAAAGAAAAAAAAAAGGCCGGGAGGAGGAGTAAACAAAATGGTACAAATAAGAGACCAATGACAGCATGGCAGATTTTAATTAAACCTGTCTACTCATTAAATATATGGCATAATATAACACCCCAAGAATTAAAAGGCAGAATTTGCTACACAGGCTAAAAATCAAGACCCAATTATGTATAGAAGATTTCAACTTAGGATTTTGACTTTATAGTAGCATAAAAGCAAGATGCCGTCAGTAGAATATGTATTTCACAACTTGATCTTTCCTTGGGCTAGCAACAAAGGTTACGACTCTCTCATGATGCCGGGCAGCTCCCAGCCAGCTACGCACCCAACAGGGCGCCCATCACTCACTCTACAGGGTGCTGCTGGGCTGGGCTGGCTCTTGTGTTGAACATACTGTCGACTTATGACAGACTTACTCAGACGTAACGACATCTAAGCCAGGAACAGATTACTGCCTACAAGAAACTCTCTTTAGATAAGGACAAAAAGGTGAACATTTCAAAATGGAAAAAGATATGCCATGTTGTCTTACCCCCACTGTCTGCCGCTATGACAAAATACCACAGACTGGTAACTTAGAAACGACGCAAGTTTATGTGGCTCACAGATCTCGAGACTGGAAGTCTTGCTGTCTCATGCAGAGGGCGTCATGTGGCAAAGAGCACATGAGAAGGAGGGGGGGCTGAACCCCCACACACACCTACAGTGAAGCTACTCCCAAGTCAACCATCTTAATCCATTCACACTGACGGTATCTTCATGATCAATCACCTCTTCAAGGTCCCACCTCTCAACACTGTCGCGCCAGGGATTAAGTTTCAGACATACAGGTTTAAGGGACACATTCAGACACAGCACGTTAATGCTGATCCAAAGGCAGCGGGAGTGGCTACATCACCACCACACAAAGTAGACTTCACAGGAAATACCACTGCACGAAACAAAGGGGGTCACTTAATAATGATGGAGGAGCTGCTCCCCTTCCCATCCAGCTCTCTGCTATGGCCTGGGAAAGCAATAGAAGACGGCCCAAGTCCTTGGGTCCCTGAACCCACATGGGAGACCCGGAAGAAGCTCCTGGCTCTTGGCTTCAGATCGGCCCAACTCTGGCCGTCATGATCATTTGGGGAATGAACCAGCAGATAGAAGACCTCTCTCTCTGCCTCTGCCTCTCTCTAACTCTTTCAAATAAATGAATTTTAAAAAAAAGTTTTAAAAAAATTAAAAGAGGGGGGCCAGCGCTGTGGCACAGCGGTTTAATGCCCTGGCCTGAGGCACCAACATCCCATATGGGCGCCGGTTCTAGTCCCGGCTGCTTCACTTCCAATCCATCTCTCTGCTGTGGCCTGGGAAAACAGCAGAAGATGGCCCAAGTCCTTGGGCCCCTGCACCCACATGGGAGACCCGAAGAAGCTCCTGGCTCCTGGCTTTGGATCAGCGCAGCTCCAGCCATTGCAGCCAATTGGGGAGTGATCCATTGATGGAAGACCGACCTCCCTCCCTCCCTCCCTCCCTCTCTCTCTCTCTTCTCTCACTTCTCTCTTCTCTCTCCGTGTAACTCTGATCTTCAAATAAATAAATCTTTTAAAAAAATTAAAAGGGGTGGGGAGAGAGATATCAATCTTCCATTGGCTGGTTCACTCCCCAAATACCCACAATGGCAGGCTCTGGGCCAGGCCAAAGCCAGAAGCCAAAAGCTTCATCCAGGTCTCCCATGTGAGTGGCAGGGGCCCAAGGACTTGGGCCATCTTCCACTGCTTTCCCTGGCACATTAGCAGAGAGCTGGATTGGAAGTGGAGACACCTCCCAGGATGCATACATGCCCTTTCAGAGTGCCTGGGTTCAAGTCCCAGCTCTGCTCCAATCCCAGCTTCCTGCTGATGTGCACCCTGGGAAGCCGCAGACGACGGCTCAGGTAGTTGAATTAGTTGAATCCCTGCCACCCCTGTGGAAGACCCAAAGGGAATCCTGGGCTCCTGTATTTGGCATGGCCCAGTCCTGGCTGTTGCGGTCATTTGTGGGGTGAACCAGTGAATGGAAGAGCTTTTGTGTTAGTCTGTCTCTCTCTCCCTTTCCTCTTCTGTCTCTCTGACCTTTAAATAAATAAAATTTTTAAAAATACAGTTTTGAATTTCCCAAAGTATAAGTTCCTTCCAGCTACTGTTTGAACTTCCACACCAAAACTCTATTTTAATCCCTTTTATGAAATTCAGAAGTGGGGTCAGGAGGCGCCTTTAGAGGTGACCACAGATGTTCCATCATGAATGAATGAATCCACTCACACAATTTATGGGTGCATGGGTTACCTGGAGACTGGGGTCTGCTATAAAAGTCAGACTGGCTGGGTCTCTCCCCACCATTGCCTGTCTCAGGCCATGTGTCTGGACTGCCAGCAAGAAGGCCATCCCCACATGTGGCCCTCTGACCTCGGGCCACAACCATAACCCTAAAATAAATCTCTTTCAAACTTACCCACTCTGGGGCACTGTGTTATCAGCAACTGAAAACAGACTATGACTGTTCCCTAAGTAACAAATTAGCAACAGGACATTTTTAACACTGTCCGTTCTGTTTTAAAAAAAAAAGGGGGGGTGGGGGGAGAAAGCAAGGTCTGATGTTGTTTGGTCAAAGCAAATTCACAGGTCATATCCTATGAGCCCTTCAAATCTGCTTGAGCAGATAACACAGTAGATGTGGCTCCTTCAAATTCTTTCAGGAAACAGCTGAGTGAGAAACAACAGCAACACTGCAGGTTTCCTGTCTCCCCAAAAGCGAACTTCCAGAGCGAGGCCTTCTCCAGCTGACAGCACCTGTCCTGAGCCCCGCACTGCCCTGCCTGTAAGTACAGAACACAGCCCCCAGGTTATATCATCCCACGCGCCAGCAGTGAGGCTGCCTGAGGACACAGTTGGGTCCCGCATTCCTGAGGCGCAGCACAGGACCCTGAGTGTCTACACTCGGGACTCAAACGTGCCCAAAGAACACCCCTGTGAGCTCTGATCCCTGCACACCCAGGAAAGGCTCCAAACAGCCTCACTCCTCTGAGCACTGCCCTGTGAGCGCCACAGCTCACGTTCGAGGGTCTGCCCCTCGCTGGGCCAAAGACTCTGTACGGTGATGGGAGCTGAACTAGAGGAGGTAAGGACAGGGGAGCCTGGCTGGGCCGGCGCGCTCTGAAGGAAGAAAGAAACTACAGCAGAGGCTGAGACCTGGAGGAGAAGTAACACCCTCAGCACCCCAAAGCCCCAAGTGGGGCCCAAGTGGGGCTGTGCTTCCTCCACGAGGATCAGAGAAAGTGCGTCTGCTCTCTCGACTCCTATGACAGCTTCTTTTTAAAAAGACTGATTTAATCGAAAGGCAGAGTTACAGAGAGGGGGAGGGAGGGAGGGAGGGAGGGAGGTGTCTTCTGTCCGCTGATTCAGTCCCCAAGTGGCTGAAACAGCCAGAGCTGAGCCGATCTGAAGCCAGGAGCCAGGAGCTTCCCCCGGGTCTTCCACGTGGGTTCAGGGGCCCAAGGACGTGGGCCATTTCCCACTGCTTTCCCAGGCCATAGCAGAGAGCTGGATCGGAAGTGGAGTATCCAGGACTCGAACCAGAGCCCACATGGTATGCCGGCACTGCAGGCGGCGGCTTTACCCACTGTGCCACAGCGCCAGCCCTGACAGCTCTTCTTTGCAGCCTGACAGATCCGGCTAAAACTGCTCGCAGATGAGCTTCCTACTGTTTTCTTTCTCCTCCCTTGAAAGATTTTTTTAAAATAGTTATCAAGACAGAAGTTTGTCTTGCTACACCTGAACATACCTGGCCTTCCCACTGCTGGGCCTGGGTGCATGACACCCCCTCTCCCCAGGTTTCAAGATACACTCTCTTCCAGGAACCTTGACCCAAGCTCCCCACACTGGCTCTGGCTTCCAGAACTGAGCCTGATATCTCCGCCTAGCAATTGTTTGATAAGCAGCTCTCTTCTGCTCCTTCCTTTCTCCAAATTCATTTGTGCACCTGTCCGCCACCTGAGAGCAGGGGTCAGCCACTCTTCTCAGAGGGCCAGACAGTAGGTTACTCGGCCCCACAATCGCTCTCACCCCTCCTCATGCTGCTGGGGTGGAGCACAAGCAGCCACAAGTCACAGATCAATACAGGGCACAGCCAGGTTCCAATGAAGTGACATGAAAAGTAAAATAAAATAAAGAAATAAAGAAACCTCGCCAAACCATGTTCTGAACAGCAAGCCTAGGACCAAATCTTGCATTGCTCCAACACCCACATCCCACAGCAACTCCTAGCACAGGGAGGCATGCACGGACATCTGACAAATGGCACTGCACAAGCTTGCTGTATTCTGCAAGGGCCCACAGTGCCCCAACAGGGAAGGTGTGTTCCCTCCCTGCTCTCCCTGTGTCGGGCACGGGCAGTTTTAGAATCGACTGAGCGTGCAGTCACAGGTTCAGACATGTGAGGCATGCCTTCAAAATACACTTACTTACCATTCTCTTTCTCTCTTGCTCTTTCAAGCAGATGAAGATAACATTTGAAAAGCATGGATGAGCAGGCAAGGTGGCACAGTGAGTTAAGGCTCAGCTTGCAACAGCCCATAAACAAGTGCTGGTTCAAGGCCCAGCTGCTCCACTTCCAATCCTGCTCTCTGCTAATATACCTGTAGACAGCAGATGATGGCTCAAGTGCTTGGGCCCCTGCCACCCAGGGAGGGAGACCTGGATGAAATTCCTAGCTCCTGGCTTCGGTGTGGACCAGTCTCAGCTGTTGTGGACACATTTGGGGAATGTAGCAGAAGAAGGGAGGAGTGTGTGTGTGTGTGTGTGTGCATGTTGCTCTGCTTTTCAAGTGGAAAAACAATTCTTTTTAAGATTTTAGTTATTGGGGCTGGCACTGTGGTACACTGGATTAAAGCCCTAGCCTGAAGTGCCGGCATTCCATATGGGCACCAGTTCGAGTCCTGGCTGCTCCACTTCCAATCCAGCTCTCTGCTATGGCCTGGGAAAGCAGTAGAATATGGCCCAAGTCCTGGGCCCCTGCACCCATACGGGAGACCTGGAAGAAGCTCCTGGCTCCTGGCTTCAGATCGGTGCAGCTCCAGCCATTGCAGCCAATTGGGGAGTGAACCAGTGGATGTAAGACCTCTCCTTCTCTCTGTGTAACTCTGCCTTTCAAATAAATAAAATAAATCTTTAAAAAAATTTGTTGATTTATTTGAGAGGCAGAGTTATAGACAGAGAGAGGGAGAGACAGAGAGAAAGGTCTTACATCTCCTGGTTCACTCTCCAAATGGCCACAATGGTCAGAGCTGGGCCAATCCAAAGCCAGAAACTTCTTCATGGGTGCAGCAGCCCAAGCACTTGGACCATCATCCACTGCTTTCCCAGGCTACAAGCAGAAAGCTGGATCGGAAGAGGGGCAGCTGGGACACGAACCGGTGCCCACATAGGATGCCAGCACCACAGGTGGAGATTTAGCCTACTACATCACAGCACCGGCCCCGTAAACATAAATTTTTAAAAATACTTAACAAGTACCTGCGTCGTGCCAGGCAATCGTTCAGGTGACTGAGTTACAGCAGACAAAGCAGGCGAACTCGAGGCCCTGACAGCTTGCACAGCACTCAGCACACCAGACAATGACTTCAGCTGGGCATCCATATCCCCTTTGCCTTCTCGGTCTCCTCCACAGTCCTTTTTTTTTTTTTTTTTTTTTTTTTTTTTTGACAGGCAGAGTGGACAGTGAGAGAGAGGAGACAGACAGAGGGAAAGGTCTTCCTTTTTCTGTTGGTTCACCCCCCCCCCCGCCGCCAGTGGTCGCTGCGGCCGGCGCACCGCGCCGATCCAATGGCAGGAGCCAGGTGCTTCTCCTGGTCTCCCATGGGGTGCAGGGCCCAAGCACTTGGGCCATCCTCCACTGCACTCCCTGGCCACAGCAGAGAGCTGACCTGGAAGAGGGGCAACCGGGACAGAATCCGGCACCCCGACGGGGAATAGAACCCGCAGTGCCGGCGCCACAGGCGGAAGATTAGCCTAGTGAGCCGCAACGCCGGCCCCCAGTCCTCTTAAAGAGCAGTCAGCTCAAGTTCTGCCATGTACGAAGTGTCGGGACAAGTCACTTCTTTCCACTGCCGGCTTTGCTCAGGCCCTGTCCCAGGTTACCCTGTGATTACTGTTCTTTGCTGTTCTTGGAGAGGGGGCCAGCTCTGCATAGCTGCAGAAACTTCAAGAAATAACCAGGGCCAGCACTGTGGCAAATTGAGTTAAGACACCACCTGGGATGCCAGCACCCCACATGAGTGTCGGTTCAACTCCCAGCTACTCCACTTCCAACACAGCTCCCTGCTTATGAAAAGCAACAGAAGATGGCTGAAGTGCTAGGGCCCCTGCCACCCACATGGGAGACCCAGAAGAAGCTCCTGGCTCCCAGCTTCGGCCTGGTCCTGTTAGACAACCCAAATGCTTGGGCCCCTGCACTCACATGGGAGGCCTGGAAGAAGTTCCTGGCTCCTGGCTCCTGGCTCCTGGCTCCAGGCTGGCCCAGCCCTAGCCATCGTGGCCACTTGGGGAGTGACCCAGATGGAAGAACTCTCTCTCTCCCTCTCCCTCCCTCCGTTTCTCCCTCTCTCCCTCTGTCTCTCCCTCTCTCCTTATAACTCCGCCTTTCAAACAAATCTTAAACAATAAAAAGTGAGTGTGATCAGACACAAAAAGGAAATTCTGACCCATGCTAAGCACTAGTGGACCTGGACAGCACTCTGCTAAACAAAAATAAACAGACACGAAAGGAGCAAATACTGTACAATTTCACTACACGAGGTTCCAAAAGAAGTCCAACTCCTAGAGACAGAAAGTACAATGGTAGAGGACAGGGGTGAGAGGTGCAGACTGAGGGGGAGGGAACGAGGAGTCAGGGTCTAATGAATACAGAGCTCCTGTTTGGCAAGAAAAGAAAGTTCTGGAAACAGGTTCATTCCGCATGAACTCAAGGCCACTGAGATGCAAGCTTAAAACAGTTCAGCTGGTAAACTGCACATTATATATAGTACCGTAATAAAAGACAATCCTGAGGGGACTGGTGCTGTGGGATAGCGAGTGAAGCTGCAGCCTGCAATGCCGGCATCCCACATGGGTGTTGGTTCAAGTCCCGGCTGCTCCACTTCCCATCCAGCTCTCTACTATGGCCTGGGAAAGCAGTAGAAGATGGTCCAAGTCCTTGGGCCCCTGCACCTACGTGGGAGACCCGGAAGCTCCTGGCTCCTGGCTTCAGATTGGTGCAGCTCCAGCCGTTGCAGCCAATTGGGGAGTTAAATAGCAGATGGAAGACCTCTCTTCTCTTCTCTTCTCTTCTCTTCTCTTCTCTTCTCTTCTCTCTCTCTCTGCCTCTCTGTGTAACTCTTTCAAATAAATAAATTTTAAAAAAGGAAAAAGAAAATCCTGAGAGAGAGAATCCCAAGCATACATCCCTTTAGCTATCAGAGCAATGTTGTCATCACACATCAAGCAATCTCCGGAAAAGCCATGGTATGCTTATTGGAGAATGAGACAGAAAAGTACATGACTTCTTGAGATTATTCTTGTTTTTTTTTTTTTTTGGCTTTTGTTTTTTAAAGATTTATTTATTTATTTGAAAGTCAGAGTTACACAGAGAGGAGAGGCAGAGAGATGGCTCACTCCCCAATTGGCTGCAACAGCCAGAGCTGCACCATTCCGAAGCCAGGAGCCAGGAGCCTCCTCCAGGTCTCCCACGCGGGTGCTGGGGCCCAAGGACTTGGGCCACCTTCTACTGCTTACTCAGGCCATAACAGAGAGCTGGATGGGAAGTGGAGCAGCTGGGTCTGGAACCAGCACCCATATGAGATGCCGGCACTTCAGGCCAGGGCATTAACCTGCTGCGCCACAGTGCTGGCCCCTTGAGGTTATTTTGAAAAGAGTAATTTTCCTCCTGGAGCCCCTAAAAGGGTCAGATGCTCCGACACACACCCCTCAGAGACCCCTGGGCACACTGGGAAAGCGACTGCGGGACGTGATGCCACATTGGGAGAACCCAAGCCCTGCAGAGAGGCAGGAGTCCCTGCAGTACACATTCTTCCTCTAGATTCAATTACGTCTCTGTCAGCAGGCCGTGGCCTCATTGGAAACTATGTAAACAGAGCTGTCCCCAGTCGCTGTGTGAAGTTTAGCAGGCTGTCAAAATTGTTGGCATCTGTTTTCCCCAGCACCTGCCCACAGCCAGCCAGAGGAAGAGCAGCGGTGGCGGCACACGTGTCCATCACTAACGAAATAACAGAATCTCCAACAAAGAAACGCAGGAGGAACACCCAGCCCCTCCTCCCACTTGCCCCAACACACTGGGACCTCAGTCCCGCCGCAGCAGTGAGGATTCCCAAGCGAGGCCTGGGGCAGACACCCCCTACACACACACACCCCACACGCACTGGAAAAGGGCGGAGAGTGTCCCTCCCCCGAGGGACTGGTGGAGAGCAGGTGGCAGGAAGGGATGCAGCTGGGACAAAGGAGAGTGTCCTCTCAGAACACCTACAGGCAGACCTGGGAAAGCAGAGCCAGCAAGTGGGGGAAAAAACATCGCCAGCAGTCAAAGCCATGCACAGGAGACCACCAGAACAAACTGTGCCTGCATTACAAGCTGCCCCCTTGTCTGCAGAGCGCGCCACATGCCACGCGCCTATTCTCAAGTGCCACAGGCCACCTCGCCTTCCCCCGTCCTCACCCCCAGGCTCGTGGGGCCCTGGCTCAGCAGCCCCTGCAGCCCCTCTGGCCACTGCCACCCGCTCCCACCAGAAGGTCTGCCTACCTACAACCTCCCTAGGCCTAAAGCTTCCTTAGAATGAGGATGGGAGAGCAGGTCGGAAAGAGGCCCCAGATCTGGATCTGGCTGTCATGAGACAGACGGCAAGTGTCACCGCTACCCCCGACCGCATGACACCTACTGGGCCTTGGGCTCCATGCCTTCATCTGTAATGCACGGAAGTGGCTGCCCTGCTGACTTCCACGGCAACCCTGAGGCCCACAGGAGAAAACCACCCAAACAGCGCTCACTTGCTGCAGCTGCACATACGCAACTGTGATTCCAAACGCTCTGAGAAGGGCCCACACAGACAAAGGGTGGACGGGAGGCAGGAAGCTGGCAGGCAGCCTTGCTCAACAATTTGGTCGTCTCTGGGTCTCTACAGCAAAGCCCGGTTAAGGCTGCTGCTACCTGCAGGGCCCAGCATCCTCTGCTCTGCACCACCTGACCTTAGAGACCTGCTGGCCCTCGTATCTTCTCCTGGGAAGGTGCAGAATTCACAAGGGAATGAGATGTGCAGGGCTCATGGAAAACAAGACTGGGGGGGGGGGGCTGGCATTGTGCCATAGTGCGCTAAGACTCCACCTGTGGCACAAGCATCTCATATGGGCACCGGTATGAGTCCCGACTGCTCCTCTTCTGATCCAGCTCTCTGCTAATGGCCTGGGAAAGCAGTGGAAGATAGCCTAAGGGCTTGGGCCCCTGCAACCACGTGGGAAACCTAGAAGAAGCTCCTGGCTCTGGCTTCAGATCAGTCCAACTCCGGCCACTGCAGCCATCTGGGGAATGAACCAGCAGGTGGAAGACCTTTCTCTCTGTCTTTTCCTCTGTCTATAACTCTACTTTTCAAATAAATAAATAAATATTTAAAAAGAAGAGGACTGAATCCAGGCAAAGCCTCCATGGGGGCAGCTATGTAACACCCAGAGGGCCAAGAGGCACAGTGCCTGCCCATGAGTTTTGGAAACCAAGACGGGAGCACCTAAATATTTCAAACGTGCAACCACTGCGGCGGCGGTTTTGAAACAGCCTGCAACTTGTTTGGCAAGACTCCCTGAGCAGCAGTGACAGCCTGGTTCCTGTGACCACCGAACCAAGCTCTGAGTGACGGGCCCACCCTCAGTCCCTCCTCCGCACACACCTGTCACCAGAGGCATGGCAGACACAGACAGGTGGCCAGCTCTGCTGCCACACTGGACAGGCAGGGCTGAGGCTGCCAAGCCTGGCAGAGTGCCAGCCACCCTCTCCTGCAGGCCAAGGACTCACGAGGCTGACACTGCAGAACAGAGTGACAAAGCCCAAACTTCAGCACTGATTTCTCATAAATAACGGGCATCGTCTCCATGAAGGAGATGAAGTGATCCACAGCTGCCCTGTGGCTTCTCCTTAGGCAGATGTTGGGAGAAGAAGGCCCAGTGTGAAAGGTACCCGAGAAGAAGGCGAGGCCCAGGGGAAAAGCGAGAGGGGATGAATGAAAGCAGAGAAGAGAGGAAGGTTTGTTAAGCACATGGATGAAAGGAATGGGGCTTTCAAGGTAAGAGCAGCAGCTGCTGGAGGGAGCCCACTGCAGGGGGTGGAGGGCAGGATGGGGTAAGAGCTCCCTCGCACCTCACGTCAAATCTCCCAGCACTTCCACACCACACACCACACACACACACACACACACACACACACACACAGAACAGGGTAGTCAGTTACCTCAGCGGGAACAAGGGTCAGTAGGGTCACATGTCACTGCAGGGGGTAGAGGGCAGGATGGGGTAAGAGCTCCCTCGCACCTCACGTCAAATCTCCCAGCACTTCCACACCACACACCACACACACACACACACACACAGGGTAGTCAGTTACCTCAGCGGGAACAAGGGTCAGTAGGGTCACATGTCACTGCAGGGGGTGGAGGGCAGGATGGGGTAAGAGCTCCCTCGCACCTGACGTCAAATCTCCCAGCACTTCCACACCACACACACACACACACACACACACAGTACAGGGTAGTCAGTTACCTCAGCGGGAACAAGGGTCAGTAGGGTCCCATGTCACGTGCTGGCACACGCACTGGATGTCCTCAAGACAAGCTAGACCTCGTCCTTCAGGGAACCCCGCCTTGGACCTGAGGGGCCACGCGCCAGGCTGACAAGAGCAGAGAACACAGGCCCCTGCCCTCAGAAAGCTCAGAATCTGTCAGGCAGGCAGGCAGATCCCCAGCACCTGCATGGGCGACCCAGAGGAAGCTCCAGGCTCCTGCTTCAGATCAGCCGAGCTCCGGCCACTGCAGCCATCTGGGAAGCGAACCAGCGGATGGAAGACTTTCTCTCCCCCCCCCCCCACTTCTGTAACTCTGCTTTTCAAATAAATACTTTAAAAAAAAAAAAATTAGAAACCTTTTTGATTGAAAGTCCAGTAAAGATGATGTCAATCAACGGAACAGAACACAGATGCCAGAAATAACCCACGTGGATATGGTCAATGGATTCTGACAAAGATGCAAAGATAATGCAATGGAGATAGTCCCACTGTTGATCTCTCAACAAACAGGGCAGGAACAAGCAGACCACCTATTACCAGAAAATATGCCTCCATCAGCAGGGAGCCAGTCAAAACCACCTCAGGCCCATCAGGATGGCCAGTGTCAAAACAGGAAAATTCCCAGTGTTGGCAAGGACGTGGAGAAACCGAGACCCCTGTACTCTGTGAGACTGCAAAATGGTGCTGTCACTATGGAGAGCAGTACGGTGGCTCCGGAGAAAAGTAAAAACAAAATCACCACACGATCCACCTATCCCCCTCTGGGTATCTCTCCAGAAGAACTGACAGCAGGGTTGGAAGAGGTATTTGTACACTGATGTATTTGTACATTATTGCTAAGTATTTTTCACAACAGCCAGGAGGTGGAAGCAACCCAGGCGGCCATGGATGTGGGAATAAAGATGACACGCTCTGTACACAGAGTGGAATATCTTTAAAAAAGAAAAGCAGCTCTGACGGATGTTCCAGTCTGTGTGAACCCTAAAGACACCATGCTCAGTGAGATAAGCCAATCACAAAAATACTGGGGCCAGCGCTGTGGTACAGTAGGTAAAGCCACCACCTGCAGTGCCAGCATTCCATAGGGACTGGTTCTAGTACCAGCTGCTCCCCTTCCTATCCAGCTCCCTGCTAACACGCCTGGGAAAGCAGTAGAAAACGGCCCAGGTCCCTGGGCTCCTACACCCACAAGGGAGACCCAGAGGAGGCTCCAGGCTCCTGGCTTCAGATTGGCCCAGCTTCAGCCATTGTGGCCATTTGGGGAGTGAACCAGCAGAAGGAAGACCCCTCCCTCTCTCTGCCCCCTACCCCCGCCTCTGCCTCTCTGTAACTCTCTGCCTTTCAAATAAATAAATCTTAAAAAAGGAAGGAAGGAAAGAAGGAGGGAAGGAGAGAGGGAGGGAGGGAGAAACAAACATCTGAAACACAGAGGGGCTTCACAGTCCCAAAGGCCATCTTAGAACTGAACACAATGAGCCTTGCAGGAAAACAGGACTGGAAATCTGAAGCTGCTAAGGAGACTGACCCACAGGCCCAGCCACAGGCAGGCAGGCCCGGCCCCAGTGCTCCTCCCTGGGGCTAGCTGAGTGGGCGCCGGGATCACCCCAGGGAGCCGCACACTCAGGAAAGCACACGTGTTATCGTCATGGGCTCCACCAGGAATGTCCAAGCGTTCACACACGTATACAGCCTGGAAGTCACATTCCATATGTGCTGACTTTAAACCTGGATACTCAACACACAAGAGCCACACCTAAGAAAAGCAGCCTTGCAATTGCACTTCAGGTCACTACCTAAGCCACTGTGCACAGAGCGCTTATTAGCAGAGCCTGCAATCCTCAGACAGGCGAGGGTGGGGTGCAGGTGAGGGGGACAAGGACATGGCAGACAAGAGCCAAGGCCAAGACCGCGGGAGCAGGCCGGGCAGGGATGCACGCAGCTCCAGCGGGCAGGGGAGCCTGGGGAACTCAGGGCTGCAGTACTGGCGGCTGAGGCTATGGGAAGAAAACAAGAAAAGCAGGGTGGGGAGGTTCAAGCTGAGAAGGCAGGAAGAGCGAGAGGAGGGGCCGAGGGTAAAGGAGCCGAGGATGAGAAGGAGGACCTGGTGCAGCTGGGCGCGCCAGCACGTACAGGCCAGGCTTCGTGGCCCTGAGGGAGCCGCTGGCCCGCCCCGTGCTGCCTCTTCATCTGTAAAACAGGCCAGTGGAGGCGCCACTTTGGACAAGCACCACATCACGCTGCGATGGCCCTGGAGAAATAGGCAGTCCCCATTCCGCGGGAATTTTAGAACTTTTCTCTGAGGATGTTCTCATCATTTCTAGGGTTACCTTCTGCGATGGTCCATGTAAAGTGCCAACTTGCCTGGATAAAGCATTATTCGAGGTATGTCTCTAAGGGTGCTTCGAAATGAGACTAATGGGAGTCTGAGTGGCCTAGGCAGCAAGATGTGCCCTTACTGGAGTGGGACCAACAGTCTACCAGGGAGCTAGAGAGAATAAATCTCTCTCTCTCTGGAGGCTGGGACATGCTCCTTTTGCTCAACACACCTACTTTGCATGGCAGAACTCCAGGCTGGCTGGCCTTTGGACTCCAGGACCTACGCCAGAGCTGAGTCACACTACTGGCATCCCAGGGTCTCCGGCCTGCAAGGGACCTGTTGAACAACTTCTCAGCTGCTGTAACTGCATGAGCCGATCCTGGCAGATCGTCCTGCATACGTCTACATACGTACCCGAATCAGCACTCCTATAACACCCAGACTAAAACTTTCCATGTTTCTGTAAGCTACTATTTTACATTTAGTTGTAGGAAATGGGTTTTCTTTTAAAATACCCCTTTTTGAGCTCTTACTTGCACAAATGCACCTTAAGAGGTGATACACCCACACGGTTCAAAATCCACAGGCTCCATACAAAAGCAGGCGGCACTAATAATTACCCAGGCTTCTGGAAACCTCTGCATTCCTTTGATCACAATCTGTCTGGTGAGCTCACACAGGAAGGCCACCAACCGACCTGAATGTGGTCACCCTGGTCCAAAGAGTTGCACAAGCCATCAGAGTCCATACACACTGCTGGTGGAGCAGAAATCATGAACCCTACAACGCCTTGGCCCAGTGGAGAGGGGCCCCAAGTCAGGCGGGGACTGTGGCACCAGGTGGCAGCTCTCCACTGGGCTCCTCAGCACAGCCGTCTTTCCTCTTCTGTTGGAATCAGGCCCCCAGAAGACAGAGCACCAGCCTGTGCCCCAGGACAGGAAACACACATGTGACAGACAGCGGAGCTGAGAGCTCAGTAAACAAACCAACAAGCACACAGAAATGGCAGAACCCAAATTCAAAGGACCCTTGGCCAGCTAAGCCCTCCATTTCTTTGTATCTCCAGGAAGAAACTAAAACCCACTAAAAGTGACTTGCCGAAAATTCATGAAAAAAAAAACACATCTCACAGCTGTGGGAAATAAAAAAAAAACAAGTCATTTCCTAAAATATTCAACTGGGACCGGCCTGGCGGCACAGGTTAAGCTGCTGATTGCTGCTTCTCACATCGTGTCCTCTACTGGAACACCAGCTTGAGTCCAGACTGCTTCACTTCTGCTCCCTGTTAATGTGCCTGGGAAGGTAGCAAATGATGGCCCAAGCATTTGGGCCCTTGCTCTCTATGTGGGAGTCCCAGATGGAGTTCCTAGCTCTCGGCTTTGGCCTGGCCCAAACCTGGCTGCTGCATTCATTTGGGAGTAAAATAGCATACAGAAGATCTATCTCTCCCTCTCTGTCATTCTTTCAAATAAATAATAAAAAAATTTTTTTTTTTTTACAGGCAGAGTGGACAGTGAGAGAGAGAGAGACAGAGAGAAAGGTCTTCCTTTGCTGTTGGTTCACCCTCCAATGGCTGCCGCGGCCAGCACACTGCGCTGATCCGAAGCCAGGAGCCAGGTGCTTATCCTGGTCTCCCATGGGGTGCAGGGCCCAGGCACTTGGGCCATCCTCCACTGCACTCCCGGGCCATAGCAGAGAGCTGGCCTGGAAGAGGGGCAACCGGGACAGAATCCGGCGCCCTGACCGGGACTAGAATCTGGTGTGCTGGCACCGCTAGGCGGAGGATTAGCCTATTGAGCCACGGCGCCGGCCTAAATAAATAATTTTTTAAAAAAATATTCAATTACTGGGACAGGCGTTGTGGCATAGTAGGTTAAATCACCACTCAGGACACAGGCACAAAGATTGGGATGCACACACTGCATACTGACACATGCACGTGCGTGCGCACACACACACACACACACACATACCTATCTTCTAGCTGGACAGAAAGGATCTAGTTGCAGCCACATCTTAGCAACAACTAATACACACCTACCACCACGACCACCATGACCTTAGTTTTTTTGTTTTTGTTTTTGTTTTTTTTTAAGATTTATTTATTTGGAAGTCAGAGTTGCAGAGAGAGAGGTCTTCCATCCGTTGGTTCACTCCCCAGTTGGCCTCGACGGCTGGAGTTGTGCCGATCTGGAGTCAGGAGCTTCTTCTGGGTCTCCCACATGGGTGCAGGGGTTCAATGACTTGGGCCATCTTGCACTGCTTTCCCATCACAGCAGAGAGCTGGATGGGAAGTGGAGCAGTCAGGACTCAAACCGACACCCATATGGAATGCTGGCGCTGCAGGTGGCGGCTTTACCCACTACACCACAGTGCCAGCCCCAACCTTAGTTTCTAAATGCCATCTCCTTTGGGGCCAACGTTGTAGCACGGGAGGTTAAGCCACTATCTGCAGTGCCGGAATTCCATACGGGCACCAGTCAGAGTCCCGACTGCTCCACTTCCAATCGAGCCCCCTGCTAATGTGCCTCGGAACAGTGGAAGATGGCCTAAGTTCCTGGGTCCCTGCCACCCACATGGGAGACCCAGATGAAGCTCCTGGCTTCAGTCTCGCTCAGCCCTGGCTGTTGTGGCCATTTGGGGAATGAACCAATAGATGGAACATTCTTTGTCTCTCTGTGTCTCTCCTTGTATCTCACTAACTTTTTAAAATACATAAATAAACCTTTTTTAAAAAATGACAAATACATACATACATACTATCCCCTTGAAAAGGAACCAGCCCTCCACGCAAACAAAACTAAGCCATTCCAGCCTGGGGCAGAAAAGGCACCAGATGAGCCCTGCAATAAGGAAGAGAAGTGGATGGGAGCAGGTGGGGAGGCAACAGAAGCCAGACTGAGGGGACTTCTGCTTGCCTGATCAATTTAATAGAAGCATCAAAGTCGACAGTGACAGGAACTGGTTATGACACACTGAGTAAAATTCAGCAGCCTGGAGTCCCTAATGATTCTAAGAAACAAAAACAAGGAAGAGACAGCTCCATTTTGTAGAATACCAATACAAACACAAAGTGTGAAACAATTACATGAGCACAGGTGGGAGCCTGGATTGGGTAAACTGCGTTGTCAGTGGGACAACTGGTAAACAAGGATCTGGCTGACAACATTATATCCAGGTAAACTTCCTAAATTTGGTAACTGTACTCCACTTACAGGAGAAGGAACACTTAGTCTTGGGAAGTAGAAACTGAAGGAGTCAGAATCGTTTTGCAACTTACTTTCAAACAGTTCTGCAAAAATGTGTGTACTTGCACATGCGCAGGTGCACACACACAGAGTTCTTGCCCCTCAAGGAGTGCCCCTGCCAGCCTCACACCATCCTCTCCACAGTACTGAACTCCCAAGGAAGAAGCCCCAGAAAATGAGAATCCCAAGGCAGGGGGCAGTGTGGTCTCCTGGGGGGTTCACTTGGTCCAGCACACCCACAGAGGTCCCACCATCAACCGTGCCCTGTCCAACAGGTAGCAGCAAACAGCTGGAGAGAGGCTGATGACAAGCTGACCAAACTTAGTCTGCCAGAGATCAGAGGGAAGGCAGCCTAGAGGGAGGGGCCTGAAGAGGCAGGTGCAGGGACTTCAGATGATGGCCAGGCAGGAGGAGGAGGGAAGGGCAAGACCCAGCGCAGGCAGCCCTCACTCCCAGTCACCTCCTGCCCAGAGCAGGGCTGGCTTCAGTCTCAGGCAGGGGCAGTACAGTCTCCCAGCCCAAGCATCAGGCTAGCCCAGCAGAGGGGAGGCCCCTCCACCCCAGGCCTAGCAGCTGGTGAATTTCAGCAAAGATCCAGGTTGGTGAGCAGCCCAGCTCACATCTGTGGAAGCTGCCCACCCTCCTCCCCAGGGTGAGGCCCAAGCCAGCTGGCTGCACAGCCAGATCCCCCTCCCATCAGCCACAAGAGACCCTCACCCTCCTCACTGCGCCCACCAGGGGCAGCTGCAAGGCCGCTGGCTACAGAAGCTGCTGCTCTTGGCATCCAAACATAAATAGCCATTTGTGCATTTGTTCAACACTGGATTTCTGAGTGCCCGCTCTGTGCCTCACTAGGCCCAGGGGACTCGGTATGAACGTGGACAAATGTGTCCGAATGAACAATCCTAGCCCTGTAGAAAGTGTGGCGGCTGCCCTGGGAGCTCCTGGCAAACCACAAACGCTCGCTCTGACACGGCCGGGACAGCTAAGCCTCCTCTCCCATTCACCAGGTGGCAGACGGGACGCACAGCCACCATGCGCCGCTGCCTCCCCAGAGGGAGCCTCCTCTCTGCACACAGCTCCTTCACGTTCACATGCACTCTCGCGCGTGGACAACACGAACAGCCTTCACGAAGCATCGGCTTGATGGCAGACGCTTTGCAGAATTCCCTCTTACCCACTTCAGTCCTCACAACGCCTCCAGGAAGTGGGGTCGAGGCAGAGAGAAGTCACAGACTAAGTCACGGGGCCAACCTCACTGCAGGCAGTGTGGCTCTGGGTCCATTCTCTCTTTTAAATGCTCATTTATTTGAAAGGCACACAGAGATCTTCCATCCACTAGTTCGCTCCCCAAATGCCAGCAACAGCCAGGGCTGAGCCAGGCTGAAGCCAGGAGCTTGGAATTCAAGTCTCCCTCTGGGTAGCAGGGACCCAAGTACTTCAGCCAGCACCTGCTGCCTCCCAGGGGGCACAGTAACAGGAAGCTGGAACAGAGAGCGCTAAGCCAGGACTGAAACCCAGGCAGGGCAGCACGCGTGGAGGGCATCCCCAGCAGTGTCCTACCGGCCGTCCCAGATGCCCACCCTCAGAGTCCAGGTTCTTAAACCGCTGCACTCACCTGCTTGCCACAGACCTGAACAAGCAGCCTTGATCTAACCGCAGCCACCCCTCTAACAGGCTGCCCACTGAGGCAAAACAGGGCTCAGGCTTTCAGGTCAACGTCTAGAAGCTGCAGGTCATCTCAGTCCACGGCCTACTGCTCTCCCGCCTCAGGCCCCAGGCCATTCACCCGCATACCCAAGCCCCACCACGTACACCCACCCTCACAGGACACACAGCCCAGCGAGGAACAGCAGCATGAGACGTGGCTCGCTTTCACTGAAATCCAAGACAACTGGTAAGTCACGCCCCAAATAAACATGCAGCTACCACACAAGAATCACACCCCAAGCCCGTACGTAACTATCGGCCCAAAATTGGGCTCTGAGCATCACAGGCCTGCACTGGAATCCCAAAAGGGACAGTCACAAACTCCTCGGCACTCAAACGTAAGAGCGGGCTGAATGCAGAGAACGATACAGCAGCACATCAAAGACCAGACACACGTCCCTTAGTCAAGAAAACACAAACTGCTTCTCAATGTCAAAGATCAAGAAAGGCAAAGGCCCAGGTCCCGCGAGGTAAGGTTAACTACGATATCATAACACAGCAAGATCCTAGGAGGACACATACAGCACGTCACGTCCCACCACTGCTGAGAGGGCACACACGGCCACATCCCCCACCACTGCTGAGAGGACACACACACGGCCACATCCCCCACCACTGCTGAGAGGACACACACACGGCCACATCCCCCACCACTGCTGAGAGGACACACACACGGCCACACCTCCCACCACTGCTGAGAGGACACACACACGGCCACACCTCCCACCACCGCTGAGAGGACACACACACGGCCACACCTCCCACCACCGCTGAGAGGACACACACACGGCCACATCCCCCACCACCGCTGAGAGGACACACACACGGCCACACCCCCCACCACCGCTGAGAGGACACACACACGGCCAC